TTCCATTGCTTCTTGATGTTTCTACTTAGATATCTTAAAGTTATCTAAAATGTAATGTGGGTCCAAAAAAAAAAAACCTCATAATTCAGCAAAATCTACTCCAGAAACCAAGGAGTCAACCTTAACACTTCTCTCTTCTTTGGCTCCCAAAGTCAATCCATAACCAAGTCCTGTCAGTGTTACTTCCTAAAGGTCTGTCTAATCCATTCACTCTTGCTCTCCTCTAAACCATTATCAGAAATGCAGACAAAGTGATCTCTTGGAGCTACAAGCCTGGTCATGTCCTCTCATAAAAACACCTCAATGATTTCCAATTTCTTGTATCATAAAGATCTAAATCCTTACCATAGCCTATAAGGTATTCTATGATCTGGTGCCTAATTACCTCTCTCATCACCTCTGTATTCTCAGCACCTTGCACAGTGCTTGGCAAATAGTAGGAGTTCAATAAATATCTGTCAAACGGAAATGAACTAGAAGAGTGACCTCTTAAACAGCCCTTAAGCTCCTCAAACCCCAATTTCTTTGCCAGCAAAAGGGCAGTAAATGGTTCAATTATCTACACATTCTTTTCCTCTTGTAAAATTCTACAACTTTCACATATTCTAGGGTGGAACCACCAAACCAAATTTAAAAATGGTAAATATATCATATTCCGATTTCCTTATTCCCCAAATCCTATCAACTTCTCTAAAAGCTAGCACACGCGTCTTCTTTCTCTAAGGCATATGGAGCTGTTTTTTTTTTAACGATCTTGCCTAGCCTTTATCATTGTATTAGCTGTGAGGATTCTCCCTGTCTGACCTGACCTGTGAAAGAGTCTCTATGTCATTCCTCATCACAGAATCTCCCAGGACTCCTGTAATCTCCTTCCCCACTAAGAATGACCTGTGGATTTAGTTTATCCCCTTCTCCAGCCTTCATATCCCAGACTCAGTAAGAGATTCCAGTATGTACACAAATGTTCCTGATTCCTGAAAATTACTCAAAGCTGTGCATACTTAGGGACAATTCCTGGGTCTCAGAATTCCCAGGGATGGCCCAATTCTAAAGTTAATTTGTATGAACTTGAAGTCCAGAGATGCTTGATGGGCACCATCCTCCCCTCTCCCTTCAGAATCATTTGAGTTATCGCTTCTCTTATTTCCTGTATTCCATCAGTCATCCTGCATCTCTTCATTTCCCTCTCTCCTTGTTGTCACCCTCCTAATCGGCTTCATTTTGATAACTCCTAAGTAGTCTCACTGCATCAAGCACCTCTTCTAATTCACTACCATCAGGAAAACTTTAGAAAACGCTGGCCTTATTTTATCACTGTCCCATACAAATATTTTGATTTTTAAAATTTTCCACAAAATAAAGGTAAAACTCTCCAATCTGGCATTAAAACTGTCCCATTTTGTAGCCTTACTTTATCCATTCAGATCTTCCATTATTCCTCAGCACAAACCTACTCTAGTCACCTGTCTTTCAAATATATCCATTTTCATCTCTGTCGGGGTCAAAAATGACTTCCATGTTGCTACATCCAGTGCTGGTTTTTCAGTCCTCATATGTTTAGACCGATCAGCGGTGCTGACTCAGGTCAGCCCTCTCCTCCATGAAGCACTTTACTTGGCTTCCAGGCCGCCACACTCTTCTTTCTACTTCACCTCACTGCTTGCATTTTGCCTTATCTTCCTGACCTCATAATATTTAAGCTCCCCAAGGTCCAGTGCCTGGACCTCTTTTTTCCTATTTACACTCACTCCGTTGGTGATGTTGTCCAGTTTCTGAGCTTTAAATACTTGTATTCAATTGAATTCTAGAGTCATATACCCAACTGCCTACTCAGCCTCACCGTTTCAATGTCGTAAAGAACCTCAAATTTAACCCCCACTCTCCCATCCCCACACATTGTCTTCCTTATCTTTTTCATCTTATTATTCTTTTTTTTTTTTGGTGAGGGGAGGTAATTAGGTTTATTAATTTTTGGAATAGGTAGTAGGGATTGAACCCAGGACCTTGTGCATGCTAAGCATGCAACCTACCACTTGAGCTACACCCTCCCCACTTACTGTCTTCCTTATCAAATGAAGCCACCTCTGTACCTAGCTCGGGCCAAAACCCTTGGAATGATCCTTAATTCCTCTTCTTCCATCACACCACACTGAATCCATCAGCAAGTCCTGTTGACGCTACCTTTAACTCTACCTTTGACACAGAATTGGATCATTTTTCACCACTTTCACTGGTCACCATCACCTGTCACTTTCTTTACTTGGCCTTCAGGAGACAGTAACCTCCTCACTATCTCCCTGCCTCCTTGATTATATGGCATCCCTTGAAGCTATTCTTAACAAACCAGCCCAAATAATACTTTAAAAAAGGGGAAGTCAGATGTCACACCTCTGCTCAAAACCTTATTTAGCACAGAGTGAAAAACCAGTCTCTCAAGTGGCCCTACAGGGTCTGGCTCCCCATTCTTTTCCTGTCTCCTCCTACATCACATCTCCTATCATTTTTTCCCTTATTCACTCAGCTCCAGCCCCAACGGCCTCCTGGAGCATGATAAAAATCATCCCTCCCCACCTCCTCACCCCACTGCCCTGATACACACACACACACACACACACACACACACACACCACACTCTTCAGGGGCTTCTCATTTCTGGTGCCTCTTCCTAGAAATGCTCCTCTAGGTTTTTGCAAAGCTTGTGCCCCTCACCTCCTTAAATCTTTTCTCAAATGATGCCTTCTCAAAGCAGCCTCCTCTGACCTATTTAAACCTGTGTAATGCTGGCCCCACTTCCCATCCCCTTCCTGCTTTATTTCTGTCTATTACATTCTTTGCCATCTTTACATTTTGTGATTTTACTTATTTTGATTCTTCTCTAGTCCATGAGAACAGGGCTTTTCGTTTGCTTTGTTCATTGTTGAATCCCTAGTGTCTACAATAATCCCTGGCACACAGTAGGCACTCAGTAAATAAACAGAGAATAAGTGAATCTCCACACTTTTGTTCATGCTACTCTTTTCACTTGAAATGCCTTCTATTTAAATCGTACTCGTCTTTCAGAACCTGGTGTCTGGATTAGAAAAGGTAAAGAACATAGACAGGGGAAGAAATATAGCCCCAAGATAGATAACAGTAAAGGAACAGAGCAGAGAGATATTTAAAAGCCGTTTGAGTCTCTATACCAGATAAAGTATGTTCCCTGGGACTCAAAGAACTTTCACATGTGTCTCACAGATAAGGCAAGGAAAATGTAAGCAAGTATGGAGAAGACTAGAGGTTGGATAATATACTGACTTCTAAAAAGAAGGAAAAGGATTTCTCAATCTACAGATAATTACTAATTCTAGAATAAGTTATTAAGTAGAAAGTTTGTGAGCATCGAAGAAAAAAAAATATGGTGATCCTTAGAAATCTAAAAGCATTTCAGTAAAAATTAGCTCAGTCATACCACCATGATTTTGATAAGATTACTAAATTAGAAGGTGGCAGAATGGCTGTGAACATAGTGTAACTGGATTTTGGCAAAGACTAACAAAAGCTCCCATGATTTCTATACATAATTATAGATAAGATGGTGAAATTTTGGCTACCTCATTGTAGTGTTCAGTTTGTTCCCAACTGGTTGGGAAAAAAAAGTTTCACAACTAATGCTTGAAGGTTTGATGTAAATCTGCAGGATTCATAGAAAGAGTTGGACTTTGGTTCCAAACATTTCAAAAATTTTAATAGTCCTTTGGATCAGAAGGCATAGCTATCACATCTATTGAACAGAGGAGGCCGGGAGGGATGACAAAATGTAAAAACGAGGTCAAGATTCAAGATAATCTCATGGGATCATCATGGTGTTTTAGTGGCTTTTAAATGATATATCAAACTAATTTAATAGGTTAAACTCAACAGATTTAGGTTCAGACAGGCTGGTCCATCAGCATCAAGAATGAGGAAAGACTTGGATTTAGGTGGTCACAAGGTCAACATGAGTGGGCTGCTGCCTCAACAGAAAGGCAATGCAAAGTCTAGACATGCTGTCATTAAAGATGAGTGTTTTCGCTGTACCCTGCCCTGATCAGACCCATCTGAAGTAGTGTGCCCAGTGGAAGGCTACCCGGATGTCAAGAGGTCTTTCTGAGGAACTGATTTAAGGAAGAGCTGAAGAAAATAAGTGTTTAGATTACAGAGAGATTTCCGATTTTCTCAAAATGACCAAGTTAGATTCTCCAGGGAAGCAAGACGCTGTAAGCACAGGGCCGTTCAGCAGTGTGATTCCTTCCCCCGAAGCCGAAGCCGGCGCGTACACCAGGGCTCCAGGGCAGGTGGAGAGGGCCTGGGCCGAAGTATCCTAGGAGTCCTGAGGGCTCGCGCACTCACCAACGCGCCTCGTGGGCGGCCTGAACCCAGGGCGGGGCGCGGCCTCTGCCGGCGCCCTCCGGCCTTTCAGGTTTTGGCGCTCCGGCGGGGACACGCCGCCCCGCGTGCGCCCCCAGCCTGTCACTGTCGGACTCCCGGAGCCCAGCCGCGCCCGGACCTCCCCCAACTCCAACCCACAGGCTCCCGGGCTGCGCCGGCGCCGCAACCTCAACCTCAATCTCCAGCCGGCCGGCTACCGGGCGCGGCCTGGCGGGGCTGGGCGGGGTCTGGCGGGGCTGGGCGGGGTCTGGCGGGGCCGGGCGGGGCCTGGCAAGGACCCGCGCTCGCCCGAGACGCCGCCTGCCGATCGTTGGCGTCTAGGACACTGGCGCGCCACCAGCCGCCGCTCGCCCCGCCCTGGCTCCGGCCACAAGAGCTTTACTGGTCCCGTGTTAGACCTGCCTCGGGGACCTCTTCATGGTCCTACAAGGTTTCTCAACTTTCCAGTTTCGCAGAGGCCTCCGTATCTTCCCACTATTCCACAGCCCCGGGTTCTCCCAGTGCCCCAAATCCTCTCGGAGGTCTCTCAACCCCATTCCTTAGTAAGCACCCTTCAACCCCAGTCCGCTCCACTCAGCGCCCGTGTCCTTCACCTGTAGAAGGCCACGTTGACTCTCTTTTCGTTAGGGAAGCCCAGCATCCCGCAGACCACGTGGCTGTTGTGGGCACTCCAGCCTTTGTCACACACTTGGGACCAGCCGTCTGGAAGCCTGACTTCGACCAGTCCCTCAGTCACGGGCAGGGGCCGTCTGCCCCGCCCTACCGCTGGTCGAAGTCGCACCTCCTCCACTTGCAGGTGATGCTCTACCTGGGGATGGGACCACAAGCAAAGGAAGGAATCCCCAGTAGCACCTTTCATATATCCTGCCACCCTTAAAGAACCCTGATTGAGTATGCTTGCTGTAAAGCCAGCGGTCCAGGCTGAGAGGGGGCTGAGAGGCATGCCTGCCCTCTAAGAGGTATTGATTGGGGTGTGTGGGTGTGTGAACTCTCCTGCAGTCAGGAGAGTGGAAGGACATGCTGTGCTCTGAGAAATAACTAAGGGTCCTGAAGAAGCTGAGGAAGGAGCATCTAACTCTGCCTGGGAGCCTGAGGGAGCACTTCACAGAGGAAGTGGCATTGAAGGCAGGGGGAAAAGTAAGAAGGGAGATGTTCCAGGAGAGCAGGAACATCTGAGGTGAGGGAGGGCACAGGATGCCCTGGAGACCAGAGATGAAGTTGCAGAGGCTTATGCCAAGCCTTGCAACTTGAACACTAATGCTAAAACAGAACTGAGCTTTACGGTGTCTTGGAGCTCCATCATTTTGCCCCTGCAAGCATCCCATCAACCCAAATGACCCCACTGGGCATATGTGATGACCCCCTACCTTCTACTATCTCATCTAACCACATATAACCACCCCACAGCCCTCTTTGTCTCACCACCCTGGGTGGTGTGTGTGTTTGTGAGTTACAGACCTCAATGACATTGGAATCCGAGAAGCCGGGGAGGCGCTCGTCCTTGCAAATGACCCCGGCGTCCTCATCGTGGGTACAGTCACTGTTCCCCCAGCCCCGGGAGGCACATTCAGTCACACTCCGCTCAGTCCCACTGCAGCTCAGGTTGTCCAGCCAGATGCGGCCTGTGGAGGGGGCAGATGAGGGGATAGAGGCTTGGGGAGGTAGCATGAGGGAAGTGATATGGATGTTGGTGACCGTGAGTACCGAGGCCTCACACCTGGCCATGATGATCCCATTTTTTTCTGGTGAGATAATGGGTGGAGAAGGGACAGGGGACCCTAGAAGGAATAGGAAAGGGAGCATAAGGATTGAGGGAGGGTTGGTAGTGATCGGGGGATACTCAAGAATTTGATAGGGTGAATAAAAAGCCAAGAGTCAACACTGAAGTTATGATCAGTCCATACCCATTCAATGATAGCTGCAATTAATTGAGTACCTACTGTGTGTTAGGTGCTCTGCCAGGGTCTACCCATACATGATCATCCTTAGAACAGAAGTGTCAGAAGGTATTATCACCATTTTGTATAAAGAAATTGGGGTTCAGAGAAGTTAAATAACTTGCCTAAGACCACACAGCCAATACATGGGGTCTTAGGGGTTTGAGCCATTTGTGAGATTTGGAAATCTAAGATCCTTTCACCTCAGCCTCACATTCTCCCATGCGCCTGCCCTGTCTGTGCCACCATGTTGCCCCTTAAATGCTGGTCCCAGCCAATATGCAGGGACCCTTCATGTACATCCTGACAGAACTTATCCAGCATCTGCTGGGACACCTACTCCTGCCCCACCAGGCTGCTGGAACCATTGCAAAGTCCTTGTGACTCTATGACTTTCCCCCACCAGGTCTGATTCAGTCTTTTGATGCCATGCAGAAAAATCCCTCAGTCGAATGACTGTCCTCACATTTGAAGACAACTATCATGTACTTGTTATCCAGAGCTTTTTCTTTTCATGCCAAATATCCCTGGTTTTTCCAGCTTTTCCTCCCTGAAACTTGATTTCCAACCTTTCACATCTGGGCAGCTCCCTTCTGAAAGTGTTTTTCCATTTTCTACTGTCTCTTTTAAAATCTGGCATCTAAACCTCATTCTAGAAGTGGCCTAGACAGTGGGTTCGGAGGATCATCTGCAGACTGCACCAGCTTCTGCCCTTCAGTCCCACTGTGAGCTCATATAGTACAAGCACCCTGAAATCTCAGTTAGAATTGCCCCATGCCCCTGCTACTGACATTCATATTTGTTTTTTGGGGGAGGGTGGCAGGTAATTAGGTTTATTTATTTAAACAGGAGTACTGGGGACTGAACCCAGGACCCTGTGCATGCTAGACATGCACTCTACCACTGAGCTATACCTTTCCTCCTCTGACATTCATATTTGTTCTAGAGTTTGTACTTGTCTTTCATAAGTTCCAGCCTGAGGTTTCAGCCCTGGCTTGTAATCTGATTTTTGTTGGTTGTAGTGTCTGTGATCCGTTCTGGCTTTGGGACATCCAGACATCATTTACCCCCTTTCAGCTGCCCATGAAACCAGCTGTACTTTAATCATACAGGGATCACCTGTGTCAGGGCTGTCCTTACACGTGACTTTATGGAGTCATGCTGTTGCAGCAGAAAGGAACTTAGAGATCATCTAGTCATTTTCTACGTGGGGCATCTGAGGTCCAGAAGAAGGCACCGAACAGCCTCAGTTCATACAGCTCTGAGAAGTGACTGCTGGTTGGTTTGTCCTCCGTGGGTGTACTTGACACTGGCTGATCTTGGCGTTCTGTGTCCCTGTGGCTGTGCTATCCTGGTGTCCCCTCTCGCTACGATTCGGCAATACCTAGGCTGTGCCTGGAGCATCACTCACCTGTTCCAGGGCCATATTTGGCGCTGTGGGTCCAGCCTGTGGCCTCGGTGAAGCCCAGCTCCCGGCACAGGACATGGGCAGCCTGCAGCGTGAAGTCATCATCGCAGATGGTGCCCCATTCGCCAGCTCGCTGTATCTCCACGCGGCCCTCGAAGGGCTTCCTGGGGAAGCCGGCCAGCCGGAACCGCAGCCCCTGGCTCCCGTCCTTCTTCTCGGGGGCCGTGGATGGGGATGGAGATCCCACACACAAGCTGTACAGCAGGAAGAGGAGCAGCCCCCACGGGCTCCACTGCCAGACACTGACAGGCCACATGGCAGGGACGGGCTGGGTGCCCCAGAGAGAGAGAGTATGTGAGGGATGCTGGAATCGAGCCAGGCCCAGGTCTGAGAGAGAGAGAGAGAGGTCACAAGAGGAAAAAGGACAGTGGTTAAGACCAGAGGAAAAAGAGAGGGACCCAGGGACTAAGAGACACAGTGAGAAAGAAACACACACTAAATAAGAGCAGAAATGCAGAATCAAAGAGGCACAGCCTGAGAGACCCAGATTAGGGAGGGGGGAAGAGGAGACAGAGACAGAGATAGAGAGGCTCTCCCTCCCTTTTGCAAAGAATAAACTCAGATTATTAGCTGTTATGCCTCACAGTGTCCTCCCCTAGTTCTGCCATCATCACCACCAAATCCCCACTCACCAGTCTAGAAGACCCAGTGATCAAAAGACAGGGATTAGAGACCAAGAGTCAGACAATGGTTAAGATAAAGAGATAGAGACTGAGCAAGAGGCACGGAGAGGAAGACCCAGACAGACAGGATGTGAGAGGAAGGGAAACTGTGGGAATGAAAGGGACCACATAGAGACAGTGGAGAGAGACAATTTGAAGATGGATAGAAAGGGATCAGGAGAGAGCCTGCACACAGAATTGGGGAGCAACTGAGACAGGCAGACAATAGGTGAGGAGAGGGGCTGACAGGAGAGAGGGGGCAGAGGCAGGAGGGACCCAGATGACCCCATTCAGCCAGTAAGGGGAAAGATAGCTACTGATTGTGGAGAGAAGCAGGCAAGGAGGGACTCAGGGAGCCCCTCGGATCTTGGTTCCCCTTAATGGGAGCTAAGCCAAGAGTCCTTTGTGGGTAGATTCCAGGCAAAGAAGGCAGAGACTGGAATGCATTGGGGAGCTCGCTGCACACCCTACATGCCCTGTAGGGTCAAGGGGCCCAGGAGGGCCGGGCTTCAAGTGGGGAAGGGGGGCTGTCCAAGCCTCCTGCCGACACCGCCATCACTGTCACGGAGCTACCGGAGGCCAGGGCACCAATCAGTTCCTTAGCCAAGGCCTTCCCACTGTCTGGGGCGGAGAACAGCCCCTCTACAGTGAGCTACCCCACCCCCAACATGCTTCCCCCAACTCAGACAAACAAACCAACAGAACAGCTTTGTTCTGGGAACATTTTGGCTTGGGGACCCAGGGGTACGGCCTCACAGAGGAGCCCTCAGCCTCAGGGCCTTCTCAGCTGCCCGATTTGTAATACCCTGCAGCCCCCAACCCTCAATATCTGCTTCCTTTCTCTACCGTTCTCATGTCTCACTCTTCTTTGACAATAATTAAACCCTCAGTAGGTTGGCTTCCCTTTGACCCTATCCCAAATCACCCCTTTTCCCTGGTCCCTCCACCATCCTCTCCATCCATAACTCCCCTTCCTCTCGCTGCCGGCAGCGTGACCACCGCCCCACCCCCTCCCTACCTTTGGCTGAGTGGGGCCCTAGGGGCTGGGAGAAGAGTTCTGGTCCTGGAGATCAGTCCTAGGACTTCCAAAAAAAGTGCTCGGCCAACAGAGACTGGACCCCCACCTCCCTCCCCCCTCTCCTTTCGTTCCTCCCACGTCCCTTTGAGCCCTCCCACATTCCGCCTGCTCCCTCGATCCCTCCCCGGCCAGTTCCCTCCTTTTCTCCTCCCCTCCTGCTCGGAGCTGGCCGCGGCCGCCGCTCCACCTTCCTCCCGCCCCTCTCCCCGCCCCTCCTAGCTTGCTTAATAAAGCTTTCTTTTCCCGCGGCTTGGATGCCGGGCAGCTGCGGCCAAAGAGCCCGGCACGCAAGAGGCCCCGGGGCTACACACCATACCGGGCTGAGGCCCGTGTGGCAGCTGGACTCTGGGCCCCGGGAAGGCTTCCAGTCCCCAGCCCCCAGCCCTTCCCCCTCGTCCCCGGCTCCGCGGATCGTAAACAGCCCAGCTCAGGCCCGGCTGGGGGCGGGTCTGGTCGGGGGAACTGAGGCCACGAGGGCCACGTGGTCCCTCCGGGGCCCGAGGGTGCCCGTCAGCATTTTTGAGGTGACGTCACGGCCTTCACTCTTAAGTCACGTTGAGCATCTGATGTCGCACGCAGCCCCAAGCCCGGGCGCCTGAGTTCTCTGACTGAAACCACGAGATTTCTCTTGGTGGAGCCACAGGGCTGGGCGTGGGGGCCTGAAGGTGGTGCACCACCCAGCTTATCTGGGTACCGCCCCCCTCTTCCTTCTCACTACTCTCCTTCCACTCTTTTCGCGGTCGGGGTTGGGAGGGGTGGGGGTCGGGGAGGGACCGGAACGCCTCCTCCCGGCCCCGCCCCGCCTC